TATTTGAGACTCATTAGCTGGATGTACTTGCCACAGATATCAACAAAAAGTGCACTCACAAAAATTATCCTAGTACCACAAACTTCAACATTAGCAGTTTACATAGCACCAATAAAACCCTTAAGCGAAATGAGAGTTCTGATGCCGATATCATTCCCTCAATCCTATATAAATTTTCAGAACCGGACATACAGACGCTATTACTTAAAATATACACATTGTCTTTAGAGACATGTATATATCTGAAAACCTGGAAGGTAACGTATATTCTTCGTTAGAACAAGGTCGTGTAGTACATGTTCGATAGACGTCCTTTACGAAGTTACTCGCATACGGGATCAGTAGAAGCTGGTGGTTATACCATATTTTTGGATATTAAGAAAGCCTTTTTTAAAGTACCTCATAATCCAATCAACAGACTTATGTTAGTTGAAATTATAAATCACAGATTTGTAATGGATCAGGTCTATTCTTACGAACAGATACCATATAATCAAAATTAACTCTATTACATCTACACCTCGACCAATAACCAGTGGTGTTGTGCAGAGCAGTGTTATGGGTCCACTGCTTTTTATAATCTTCATCAACAATATATGCAAGTGCTTTAGCATAGGTAAGACCTACCTCTATGCCGATGACTAAAAAGTCATTTGCGATGTACGTAGTATCATGCAAACAACCTAACACGAGCTCAACATGGTAGACAACTGGTGCAAACGCTGAAGGTTACAGCTCAACATAGAGAAATGAGGCTGCTCATGCATAAGAAGCACGTCTCTTAAAATAAAACTAACACTAAACAACAGCACACTGTCCAGACTGGCATCAGTAACTGACCAAGCGGTATATTAATCACACAGTCCTTAAATTTCAAAACACATCTCAGTCAAGGCATCTGCAATGCGTAAATTGCTTGGCTTCATTATCCGTAATTTTTATCAAAATGAATGTAAAATCCTTCTTTATAAAGTTTGTGTAATACCTATCCTTGAATAATGCTCGTTCTTCTTTTCCAACCTACGACTATCTGACATACTAAAGGTGGAAGGAATACGTCGAGACTTCAACTGCAAAATACTTAAGACTGAATCAGTTGTTGACTACAGTTCCCGATGCCATATCCTAGGAATAGCACCACTTTGGAAGAGAAGGCTTAGGTCCAATTTGATTCTCTACTTCAAACTACTCAAAAACCTTACTTATTCAACATGTAAGATAGTTCTTGCCCGAAATTCACATGAATACGAACTTCGAAACAAAATATCTACGGTCAAAGTTGAGAAATACAGATCAAAAACTCGGGAAAACTTCTTCCTCATCAAGTATACAATAATTTGGAACAATCTTCCCTCCGAAATACGCATGGCAGATGAATTACATACGTTTGTAAAAATGCTTCATCGAGCACTCATTTGCATTGGTCTAGCACGCACGAACATATCTGCGCCTCACTCAGGTATCATAGGCACTCTCTATGTCGAAACCAAAACGAACTTCATGTTTAGTTTGCCTAACATCACAAAAGGAGGAAGGGTGGAGTTTCTGACCAGCAGGCATCGATAGTAAGGGTGATGATTTCAATTCATTCGTGTCTGTGGAGCAGAACATTTTGTATGTATCAGGCTCTTTAGGATTGAGAATAAATCAATCAATCTGTGATGTAGATTGTCTTTCTACTCTCAACAAGCAGACTCATGTATCTAAATTTGCACCAGATTAGACAACAAAACGTATAGCTATTAACATTCTTAGCACTTCACCCTCTATAAACACTCTCTATTCTAATAAACTGCTTTCCTTGAACAACCTTGACTTCCCTTACTTCATGTGAGCTCACTCCAACTTGTTAAGCCTTACAACATATTGCTCTTTATTAATAGATTTGACTATATGGAGCCCCTGACATCATTTCCCTCTAACATTAGATAATATGAATTTAATCTTATTTTTCATACTTCTGTCTGTTTTACTACACAATGTTAAGCAACGTTTGGTGTTCATATCGAAGTTATTTGCTGCTCTGCTAATTCTCGCTTCTTTCTTCAGAATCTTGCTCTGAAAGCACAGCTATGGATCTTCTGACGTCCGAAACAAACTGGACGTAGGCGTCTCTTTAAGATCATGGTTTACAGCATGGGCTCTTTGAGTCCACCTTATAACAATTATAAACATATTAAGTTAGGAAGCATGCTATGCTCCAACAAATGTTGTAATTTGGTGATCATGGCTGTGAAAATGGCGTGTACCGGCTCATTCAGAAATATATTATTATTGTTATTATGATCATTATGAATTCAACGATTAGATAGTAATTTAGTGTGCACTTTACTATGAAAAAGTTCGTGGTCTACTATTACACCGTTAGCCCGAGTACTGATTAGGAAATCAGGATATATTTTCAGTTGTCACTATCTTACTTCAAAATACGACAAAGTTATCTATTATCATCGAAAGGACTTGATGATTACCATTGAGTTTTCAACGCTTTAATGCAAGTTTATAATGAGAAAAACTTTTGATTGAATGTGCCTATACTCCTTGATGAAGTGTTTAGCTTTAATAATCATACTGAACAGGGGTATAGACTAGTGACTCAGCAACTCAAGGTTTGAGTTGGCCTAATTTTGACATATACACTGGTGGATACGGACTCAATGTTATCGAATTTATGCGTTGACGCTTGAGGCCGAAGTTACTGTATCAAATCTCCTGCATTGGAGTTGCGTATGCCAAAGAGTCCTCGACTAAGAAGCCATAAAACTGAGCTTTAGTACATAATAATTATATATATAATGATCCAAGTAAACAAGTGAGCTAAGATTTATCATTTTACATTTATTAATTTCAATCCAATTGTACTATGGTACTATTCTATCGTAAATTGATTATCTACTGGCCTATCTTCCAAGGGTTGTCTAGTCGATAAGTGTCCAGTGATGAAGCGTTTGCATTTCCTTTGTTGTTGAAACTCATCACAAATAAGTACTTTGTATTTATTTCATGCGTCATGTGAAGGTAAACCATCATGGGATCTTGGAACCACTGGACGGCTGTTTCATCTTTTAGAGATTACGCGTTCGCACGCGAGGATGATATGTTCTGGGTTCGAATTTTGCGAACCTGTATTGTGGATGCGCACCACAATAATACGAAACGGCCATCCAATGCTTCGGTGTGTTTCATGGTGGCCTAGGTAAAATTGACTCATAAATTCAACCACAACATAAATAAATTCTACACAAAACCTCATGTTTGATAATAAGCAATTTGTTGAACTCCAGTTTATTGGTTTATTTCAATGACTCAAGACGACAGAACTGTAATTATTTGTCTTGTCTACGTGAATAGCGATGGTTTTGAACGTTTTTAGTATTGTTAGTCAATGGTGAAATCTTATTTAAATCCATTCCTCAGTAGAAACTATTTTTTTATTTTTTAGGTTATCATCTTTCTGTTTCCGGTAAAAAATGTAGTTGAAAGTTTGTCCTATCTTGTTTGAATAAGTAACATTTAAGCACTTAAACCGTAAGATCCATCTACTTACTGGATAGGGTTTGTATTACAGTCTTCGTCGGCTGAAGAAATAAACTGATCAGTTAAAATTTATAAAGATAATCTGATTAGTGGTGAGTCTGTTCCCATGCCACCGTAGAGAGTTATAAAGTGATGCTATTTAACGGTACATTTTTAGTGCTGAATTGCTTTTTCAATTATTTTCAAAGCCTAAGAATAAAAGCAAAGGGAGTTTGGTCCTAATTCTACCGAAGTACAAGTGATCTACGAAACTTGTCGCGGTAAACATATCCTCAAAATCAATAGTTTTATGTGTCTTTGATATTTGAAGCCGACCATATTAGTTTTATTAGACTCACTTAACTAAAGGCACTTGGTCACGTACCAACACCAGATCAATAGTGGGGACGTTGTGCACAACATCTCTCACAACTTCTAACCAGATGAGATCAATCAATTCTCAACATATTGAAAACCTATCATATATATCTTTTAATCTCCTCGCTATTGATTTTTGTTTGTACTTGTTAGGCACAAATTAATTTAATAAGGTATTACTAGTTAAAATGAAGTCAAACTACAAATACTTGTTGCATCTTCAAACTTCTAATCATTATATGAATGTTTTATAACAACAGCATATCATTTTCCGAGATTGGAAACCTACTTCGTTAGTTCTTCATGATGACTTTTCAAATTATTCCATGAACCAGTTATGGTCCATTATTAAATCATATAAGCAGTTATCGATCGATCCTGACAAAACATCGGAAATCATCTTGTTTTTTTTCGCACACCAAACATGATCATGGTCATAGATTTAGAAACTATTCTTCTTAGCAATCTAATCACCTCTAAACAAAACATTGAAATTCGAATAAGCTAATGGATAAACTCGATTGAGTTTGGGGGATTTACCCAGGGTTGGGAGCTCGGGGATAGTTAAGTAATTTGCATATTTTTTAAGTTAAACTAACACTAAACAATAATGTTTTCTCAAGTTGTTTCGATATCATCAAGTATATCTCGATAAATTCATCAAATTATAGATAAACATAATAATTTAGTTGGAATAAAGTAGCTAATATTAGTCTATGGAAATGGGAAATACCTGTATTCTACATTGACTGAATGATTCGCATTGGCAAAAGATTTAAGTCAAAATTTTTGAAACTAAAAGTACTCAGAAAATGAAATTCAACAAATGTAATATCATTTTCATGTGATTAGATTGACTATGAATACAGTGATCTTCCGTGTTGTTGGACGTATGAGGCTAGTTACCAATTTTCAGTTGACTACTTCGTTGAGAGGTTCTTCTGGAGGTATCCGAAAACGATAAAAAAATCTCAACAAAATAGACATAAAGTAAAAAACACGTTGTGACAGGATTGTCATGGATTTATGACAGTATTGGAAAATCGAACTCATGCTGTTTGAATCGAGGGAAGAAAGAGAGAAAACAAGTAATAACAATATAATACTTAACACCAGAAATATGGGAACCATAAGAAAGGAGACCACATGAGTCTACCAGCTGCTAAACCTAATAAACCTGCATCACCAAAACCGTAACCACATCCACAATAATATCCATGTCGATAATGATATGGAATTTCACTTACATCACCAAGGATAATTGTACGCGATCCATCTGGATGTTCAATAATCTGTCGTGGCTTTATATATTCACCATCTGAACCACGGTATATAATGTATGGGAAATTATGGAATTGTAGACATTCCAATGCATTCATATTCATATTCGACTGAGTGAAACACAAAACAAGACAGGTCATTCTAAGTAATCAACATAAAATAACTATGGTTAGAAATTTATGTGTTGTTACTCCACGAAAATCATCAATTTAATAATATGGTCCAATTAACTGCACAGAAATCAATAATAGTTTTGGTGAGTAATCGAAAGAACACCATTAAAGTGTAATTGCACATTGATAATAAGCAGAGATGGTTAGTGGAATCTGGGACGCGCCTTCCGTCTTATTTAGCACTCGTCAGCTGGATGTACCTGAATCTCAGAGTTGATGTTCACGCTGGTACTCAAACTCAGTACTGTTCGTTTCAAATTCCTTCGTGTTATTCACTTAGCTCCTGAGTGCTGCTGATTGTAAACTAATGAGATAGGCACAGTATGAACATATGCTAATAAGAGACTGATTATTTGCAGTCCTAAATAACAATGGGAAGATTCAAGTTGACAATATCAAGTGAATATATGATTAAAAATGTTTTGGATAAGTAATACGTTATTAGTCTAAATGTTTCCCGAAAAGTCACTTTTCTTACTTACTTACGCCCTTTAGGATTCCAAGTTAGCACTCGCCTCGTAATGCAGTTTGATGATTTCCTCAATGTATGTCCTATCCCTTTCCATCGTTTTTTCCTAATTTCCTCTACAGCTGTAGGCTGATTGGTTCGCTCCCACAAAAAACTGTTGCTAATGGTATCCGGCCGATGGATGTTGAGTATGTTGCGCAGACAGCTATTGATAAATAATTGCGCCTTCTCGATAGTGATTGTTGTAGTTCCACGCGTTTTAGCGCCTCAAAGTGGAACTGCCTTGACGTTCGTACTGAAGATTCTTACTTTGATATTTGCTGAACGTTGCTTTGAAGTTCCATATAGTTTTCAACTGAAGGAATGCCGCCCCTGCTTTGCCAAACCTCGCCTTCACATCTCCATCTGAACCTACTAGTATATCGACGATGCTTCCCAGGTATGTGAAGGAATCCACATCTTCCAGGGTTTCACCATCAAGAGAGATTGGATTGCTGTTCTCCGTGTTGCATTTGAGGATCTTGGTTTTCCCTTTGTGTATGTTGAGGCCTACTTCATTTGATGAAAATAAATCTTAAAACATTATATATAATATGCCTCCAACAAACATTTATCACCCTTTTATGTAATGTGTCAGCCAAAAAGGGAATGTGATTACCAGGATTACGAGGTGAAGATGTACTGATAATTACAAACTATCAACAACAACGGAATGAACAATAAACAATGTAAAGGCAGATATCACTCGAAACATTAATTAAATGTCCTGTCGGCACATGTTGTCTCAGTATTTTGACTACTTTGATAGAACAGGAAGTTTATTTCGAAAATAAGGATATCATATTGGCCTTAGTGTAAGCGTTTTAGTTGCTCACCATGACAAAATATACTTAACATACCGGTATACAATACCTTCAAGCCAAGTAAAATTAGTTTAATTACATCCACGTTTCACAATCTGGAGTTCGAAGTTTCATCAACTACTGTTCACTATTTAGTTTATTTATTTTCGTTACGCTTATGCGCCATCACGAGTAACAGATGAAATCCCTAGATAACTGTTGAAAGAGGAATTACCACCTATGGTATGTTGAACAAAACTGAAGTTTGAGATCAATCTGACGTATTACCTGACTGTGATGAGCTTACGAAAATCTTACGAGACTTTATTTCATGGCGCTCACTTTATTTATCAGGATTACCAAATATTTCTATCCTATTACCTATAATCGCTCTTAATGAGGATCATAAGCCTATCATTGATTGATCTACTAACTACATTTTGATTTAATCAACTACCTGTTAATTAATACTAGTTATTATCAAGCTCACTACTTTGTTGGAACGTCTTGTCAAGAACTAATTTGTGTAGACCATGAAACTGATTGCTTCTTTACCTAGAAAAATGACTGCCACTTATTGATCATATACCAATTCGCGTAAGAAAAGTTAATCATACACTTACTGATATTATTCGACTAACAGAGCGAAAATAGGTGAAATTTGAGCCTATTGACAACATTTGATTTGTAGATGTACTTATATCACTGTAACGAAATTTTCAAAGAACAACTTTTATAGTCTATCATGGTGAACGCCATGTCAAAATCGATGTTCATTTCAGTTTTAAGAAAGTAAAAACTGCATCTGCAGCGCTACTAATATTTTTGTAAAGCTTTGCTCAACATGCTCTCTTTGCCCATAGCAGAAGAATTTTCAATGAGGAATAAAATTTATGGCGTAGTGACACCATTAGACACAAATCATATGTAAACCCTGCCCATGTTAGGTCACAATATGAAGGAAATACAGGATTAACCGTATCCATATGTATCTGTTGCTCACAGGTTCTTCCCGCATTATTCAGAAGCTTAGTACAAAGGAACTGTGGGTTCAGCAGGACAGGCGTATTGATAGCAGTTTGTGCCATCTCTATAAACTGGTGGTGGAGCCTCTGAAAGTAGCATACGAACTCAATAACGAGAGATTGACATTCTTTTACTTCAGATAAATCAAGGCGCCGTACTACTGCGTGACCATGTGACTATGCGCAGAAATACCGATTAGATTCGTTTGTCCTGAGACCGAAAATGCACTCGTTAGAACGACTTTTAGGTGGATCGATATTTCGCTACAAAAACAGTGGAGAGATTAAAAATATTAATATTGAAAAAGTACTGTGGTATTTGAGTTTCGAGTTACAAAATAAACAACATAACAGATAGAAGCAAATAAGTTACCAACACCGATATTGAACTAAACAACCTGTGTTGCAAGTTATTCATATTTTTGTCAGGAAGCCCAAAACGTAAAGAGAGTTGTTCGTATATAAACGCAATGCGTAAGAGATTTACTATTGTGGACTCTTGGACTAAATTGTCAGAGGCATGAAAATCTCGCAAATGGGATGAAAATGATCTTGTTTGAGTTTTCATAGCAGTCCGACAGCAGACAATCGGTTTCAAGCGTTGTTCAGGCCCTAACGCTTCAGACTGGCTATTTCGTTTACTACCCTACATATGTGTGGTCTACTCTATAACTATATTCTATATGAGACTGCAGGTTCACTATTCATACTGAGGATGGTTCAGCATGATCATTTTGACAAGTTTCGCTCACTGCTCATACGTGAAATTGGTTTGCTGGTTAACCGATTTCATTGACACATCTTGCATTTCATTGATACATCTTACGATGTTGAAATTTGGTGTCAAACAAATATGTGTAAGAGAAATCCCACACTGAGTGAATGAGCGAAATCGGTTGAGCCGTTCAAACGTGATGGTGAAAATTGTGCTGAGGAATTCGCTGAAAAAAAATTTCCAAATGTTGTTTTCGCTCAGACTTTCCATAACGTGTTTCCGGGTCGCTATTTCTTTCATAACTGCACAAGTCTACATCAGATATTCATCAATATCATTACTTATTCTCACTTTCAACCAAATACACTCTGTAAATCCGGGCATCAGTAGATACACCATTCTACAAACAATACAACACATTATATGAAACCCATTTCTTTCGCTGCTTTTTCTTTCCCCTACATTTCCATCAGTTTGTATTTGCTACGTATGTATCAACAACTATCATCTCTTCCAGAACGTTGTACTCAACCAAAATAAACATGGTGTTTTCTGCCCTTGACTTCAGAATGTGAAGAGCGCTACACTTTGTATCTTCTAGAGCGACTGAAACCTCGTGATGTACCCGTGCCAGATCGATCTTAGAAAAGATAGTCGTGCCCTTGAGCGATGCCGTGATGTCGTGCATGTGGGGGATAGGGTAGCTATCGATGCGCGTAACCACGTTTAATGCTCGGTGGTCGCCGCATGGTCTCCAACTAACCCTATCTTTTTTGCGCACCATATGAAGAGGAGAAGCCCAGGGACTGTGAGAAGGACGAATAATACCAGTAGATAGTTATTTGTCAAACTCACTACTAGCGGAAGCTAATTTGTCCGGTGCCAGTCGGCGTGGTCTTGCCGTGACTGGTGGTCCGCGGATAACTATGTGGTGTACCACACGATTGGTCACCAGTGAAATCTCCTCGAGTGGTTTAGTTATTCTGGGGAATTTCTCGAATAAAGCATGGAATTTATCGTCACGCGAATAAAAAGTTCCGAGGATTCGGTACACGTACATCGGAGTTTATTATATTAATTTTATTCTTATCGTTATCCGTCATGTCGAATATAGTATATATATAATAAAAATTAATACGAAAATATACGACAGACGTGGATAGATAAACAATAGACTCACCGAATTGCCTTCTTTGGAAGATTTGACCACAGTTCGATGCGTGTTGCCAGATTTGGCTCACTAATTTTAGCGTGGTGTCGAGTTGAGCTTGACTCTGATGATCTTGGTAGTGTTGTCATAGTGTTCCGCAATTGAAAATTCGAGACTGCGAGTTCCGCAATACACGTTTCACCATAATTTAAAGAAAATACAGCATTAACAGAATTCAATATGAATCTGTAGATTACAGGTACTTCCTGCATTACTCCAGAAGCTTCGTAACTGCACAAGTGCACAACAGTTATTCATCAATATCATTATTTGTTTCCACTCTGAACCAAATAAACCGTGCAAATCCTGAAACCAGTACACACAAAGCAACAAAGAATACAACAAATTATTTAGAACATTTCTCTTCCGTTTCCATTTATTACAATTACATCTTAATTAGTTTATCTTTGTTACATATGTACGAAGAGACTATAATCTCTTCCGGATCATTGTCCTCAACTCAAATTTTTATGGCGTTTTCCGCCCTTGACTTCAGAATGTGAAGAGCGCTACACTTTGTAATACCGTCTATACGCTCGAATAATGCCTTTTTATCTGTTATTCTATATTGAAAAGCACCAGTTGCTAATCCGCAGAGAAACACGTCTCTCTATTCCATCAACATGCTGAACTATTTATTCATGCAAATGTGATCAGTCTAGTACTACGCAATGTGTTGTGGCGAATCCCATATAGATTTGTGTAT